TTAAAAGCAAGCTTTTCTTTGTAAAAACTTCAATTGAATTTCAATAAAGTTAAAGGCATGGCCTCATTGTTAATATTAAAAAAAAAAAATTTTGATTATCATTATATATATAGTTGTTAAAACTAGAAATTAAAATTTCATATTTATTTTTTAATTTGATTGATAATTTGAATTGATCATATTTTATTATTCATTCTTAGAAGCAAAAGATTTTCTAAGATATGCAGATTAAGAGATTTTCTCCAATTTATATAATAATATTTAATGATTAAAAACAACCATTCTATTGCATTAAACATAGAAGGAATAATATTCATATTCAAGTATTTTGATTCTTCTATTTTATGTTTTTTTTATAACTGGTTTTTTTATAGTCATAAATCTTTCTTTAATTATTAATTATATATATTATTCTATAATAAATAGTTGAAATTTTTATTTTTTAGTAAATATTAGTATGGTTTTTTGCTTGCACAGGACTTTGACTACAGCTATTTCAAATAAAGAATCATAAATTATTAATGTATTCCTTTCTAATTAATTTTCTAAATCTAGATATTTTTCAACTAACAAATCAAAATAAATATTAATGTTATTTGGATTCATTAATTCATTTTTAAATTATTGATTGTTTCTAAAAAGTATTGAAGTTGATTAATAAAATCTTCAATTTCATTTAAATTTAATTATACTATTAACAAAATATCTTGATTTAAAAAATAAAAAACAAATAAAATAAAATAAAATAAATAATAAAATAAATAATAAAATAAATAAAAATATATAAACCCAAAAATCTATTAGATTGTATAATATAAGAAAGAAGTTTTTTATATTGTTTAATTATTTTTAATACATTCATTTAATAGGTTACATTATCTAATTTAGATTATAATGATATCACTTTTACAAGCTTTCTATAATTTTTATATGTTTGTATCATAATTACAATTATATGAATTTGATTTACAATATTAGTTGAAGAATTAATAAGATCATTAGTTTCTAAATTTAAATAATGCAATGCACATTCTACAAATAGAAGATCCAAATTTATAGTTATTTTTTTGTTAGTATTATAATTATTTTTTAAAATAAATTAGATATTCTTAACATTTTTATTGTATGATTCTAAAACATCTTCAAAAAACTTAATATGTGTATTTGCACTCTAAGTAGTATAATCTTCAAATAACAAAAATCCTAATAAAACTAAATTCCTGAATTTATATACAGTTTAATATACATCAAATAATCCAATAAAATAAATTCTATTATTTGTTCATTTATTAAACATGATTCCAATCTTTTCAAGTAAAATATTTTTTATTTTTTCTTATACAATATCTGTCAAACTATTAAAATACTTATTAACTGTAAAAATATCTAATTTTGAAAGACCAATATATGCAATAAAATCTAGATTTTCACATGTATTAAATAAAATTCAATACTTTACAATAAAACATATTCAGTTAAAAATATTATGCACATTTTAATTAAGTATGTTATTATTTGTCATAGAAGAACTAACACATTCAACATGTTATTGGTAAATAAATTTGAAATTTTATACTTAGCTTCTAAATGGTTCATTAAATTCATGTAATCAGCTTCTTTTTTTGGGAAGATTGACTGTGACCCAGGAGAACACAAATTACATTGATGCTTGCCATCAGTTATAGGTTCAAAAAAAGCCTCAACATAATATTTGTTTAATCCTTTTATACTTATTGAAACACATGAGAAAATGAAAATATGTATATACTATTTGATATATCGATATGTGCTTTTAAAAGCTTTGTAATATCTGTAAATGTGATGTAATTTGTCATAATACGTAATAATAATTGCAATTAATTGACCAATTGTGACTACGCCACCAATTAATTAATTGTAGTCAAATAATTGCAATTAATTTTCCACTACAATAAATTATTCGGTACGACTGATTTGACCCCATCAATCTGCGATTCAACGTTGTCACATAACTTTGCGAAGATAAATGTCTGTGAAATCAGGATAACGTTGAGTCTCAAATCGAAGGGCAGAGGTGACATATTATGTCATTCAATATATGTATAGCATTTAGAATCAGTATTTGCTTAAAGCAATTATTTAAATAAAAAACTAAATTAAGTAAATGCTGATTATAAATCTATACATATATTGAATACCATAATGCGTCACTTTTCAGTCTGCGAAGCTATGTGAAAACGTCGAATGGTCAGATTCTCACACGAATAACCTAATATCTTCGTAGCAAATAATTAACAAAATTAAAAATTGTTTAGAGCAGTCTAAACGTCACACCCCAATTATTTTAATAATACAAAGAATTTTAATATATAGATATATGTTTACCAAAAAACCTTTGTTAAGAAAGAACAGATTAAATATACTAATTAAAATACTTAAATTACATGATTATCTATTGCCAGTAATGACTTTGTTAATTAGAAATGACATGAATTATGCAAATTCAATCTCTAATTAGGATATTACGGTATTCGGCATTGCGTCATTACGACATTACGGCATTGCGGCATTACGGCTCAAAAGTTTTACGGCAATTAGGCGCTATGCCGTAATTCTACCACGTGGTAAAATGCCGTAATGCCATAATTCAGTAACTATATCATACATAGTTTCTTGTGGTTTTTCCCTTAATCTAATACAGAAACAAATATTAACAATATCATTAGTTTATACAAGGGAAACCGATTTTAAATTTTTCTATACCGAACTTGTAAATTTGATAACATTGATTATCAAATTTTTGAGCTTAAATTCGGCATAGTGAACATTTAAATCCGTGTCTACTTGGTAATACCAAGTTACGCTTCTTGGTTAAAGCGCGACTATATTGCATAACTATTTAGCTAACTAACGTTAGACGTTGCTTGAGACAGAACAAGTCAAAAAACTTAATGCAGTCAAAATATTCAAAGCTATGCATATGCGTCTCAACCAAACGTGTTGGACACTTTTTTGTATTCCTGAGTGATTAAAATTTATTCAGAGGTTTATTTCCCGTCATAAAATGTTTGTTAAATAACCAATACAAGAAGTTTCTTGTCCATATTTTTAATACATAATATAAAGGGAATCTCAACATATTTATTATTGTATACAAATGAATAACTATATATTATGAGGAATTTACATATCACCAATCATATGAATTATCTTATTAATAGAAATTAAAGAAATTAAAAAAATAAGCTTTTAACTAAAAAGCAATGTTGTGAGCTTTACAAATTCCTATAGCTTTTTGATGATTATTTCTTGCGGCATCTATCAGCCATTTCTCCCCTTCAGCTTTATTTTGATCGTTCCCGCTCAATAACAAAATAGTTCCCAAGTTATACATTGCTGTATGATTCTTATTAATTGCAGCTGATCTAAAGTATCGAATAGCCTCCTCCTTATTTTGAGGAACTCCTTGTCCAGAGTAGAGGCTAAAACCGTATCTTAATTGCGCCTCATGATATTCGGCATCTGCCGATTTTTTATAAAGCATCATTGCAGCTTGTAAGTATGTTTCAGCTCCTTCTGCAAATTCGTCAACAGCATCGTCGTAGAATCTTCTTAAAAAATGTTTAGATGCATTTAAAATATCATATTGGAGGTAAAATCCAATCCAATAAAGTGCATCTTGATTTCCTTTCCTAGCACAATGTATGAAAGTTTTCCAAGCTTCAAGCATGTTACCATCTGGTAAATTATGCTGTTGAATTGCATCTTCGAATATCATTTCAGATAACACATCAATACGTTCCTCTTCATCTTCCTCCTCCAAGCGTTCTATACCGTCATCAAGATGATCTCCAAATGAGTTCCAAGAATGTGTTCGTAAATTATTAGCGTCACTGACCATAGGTTTTCTTTTGTCAGTGTAGATTACGCACCACTTGAGGACAGTATTTTCTTGAACAGTTCGCTCTATTTCATCATCAAGTTCATAAATACCACTATCAGAAGCCTTATCATCAAATCCATCATTATCATCAGATCCATCATTATCAAATCTACCGTCAAATTTTTCTAAATCAAGATTTAATAGGTCTTTTGTTATTTCTAAATAAATTCTAGCTTTGGCCCAAGCTTTAGGTTTAATGGTATAAAAAGCAGATTCATCTTTGGATACGATTGACGTTATCAGAACACAGTCTGTTGTAAGTTCTCTACACTTTAAACAAACTTCCAATGGAGTTTCGTTGACAGGGATATTTCCATAAAGAACTTTAACATTTCTATTTTTATTGCTACAAAATCCTTTGGGATCAGCAAGCACAAGCCAAAGTAATTTTGTTTCTTCTTTGTTTAGTCTTTCATAATTAATTTTGTAAAATTAATAAATAAATAAATAAAATAAATAAAATGAAAAAGCTCAAAATGCCTACCGTATATTGAAATTTTTAGATTTATATATATACGCTGCACAACTGCTTTTATTCTGATGATCGAATCGAACAGATAAGTCAGGATGTTGGTATTTTCTCCAATCTCCATTTTCGCCTTTCTTTACGACGGCTCCAAAAATATGATAATTGGTGTCATTAAGTGAACCAGGGAATCTAATAACAAAAGTACTCTGATCATCCACTTGGAAGAATTCTTCACCATTAAAAACAATCTGATAATGACCAAAAGTATTATCAATATTAGCGCTTGTTCTGCGCAATAATTTATATAGTGGTGTCCAGTCTTCATAAGCAACAATACACCAATTTTGAACTGCATTAATATAATGAAAATCTTCAATCCAAGGTTTAATTCCATTACGGCTAACAACATCACCATTGTTGTCAATTAAAAATGAAGTGTTCACTTCAAACTCATTTTCCCAAGATTTCAACTGAAAATTAATTTTCTCAATTATTTGAGGATCGTCTAGTTCATATTCAAATTGAATTTGTCTTCCAGGTATATTTTGTTTTGTACGTGGAACACATTTTTTCGATAAAATTCCACCTACAGTTAAAGTCCCTGCTAATAAATGGCCGTAATCATCTCCGAAAATTTTACAGAGATTTTTAAAAGGCTCATTACTTAGAAGCGCCGTATTGACGCTATTTGAATATTCCTGTAAGGATCTGATATCTGTGAGGCTAAAGGAAAGTTTTGCCATATGAATAATTATTTGAACATAAATTGCCTGAGAAGGTTGATTTTTAGCAGATTTGAAATCCTCCAGGGGGTGGTGAAGTATTGAACTATATTCGGCAAATGGGATATTTTCAAGAGTTAAATTGCCATTATCTTTCCAGATTATGCCGTTTTCTAATAAATAGGCTTCTTGACGGTTTTGTGGTTCTATTAATCTAAGAGTAATTTTTTTAATTTCGGTAACGGCAGGTACCTTCACAAACTTGAAAGCCGCCTTTTTTCCGTGTCCAATATCTGATTTTTGTAGAACAACACCATATTGGAGTGAATTGTTGTGGATAAAATCCAATAAAAATAGTTCGAGTGAAGGTTTTAGTGCTATCCATGCACTAAGCTCCTTTTTTTTATAACTAATTGGAACGTTAGGAATTAATTCTCCATCAGGTGTATTAACAGGATTACCACCAGTAACCTCAAATAACTTTTCTTGTAAATTATTCGGTAGTAATTTATAAGACGGGATTATTTTTCCATATGCTATGACCTTAGCAAAATCAAAATTATATAAGCTTTTAAACCAGTTATACAAGTCGCCAAGGGTATCCATCTCGCCATCAGCTTGAAGTGGTGGTATGTTGTCAAGTGGTACATCTTCAAAAATTTCGGAGGCCTTCCCTTTTCCACAATCAATTGCCCATTGTAAATAGTTCCTTAAATATGATTTTTCTTTATTAGATGCAGTTTTCCAATTTCTAACTGTGATAACACCACCAAGTGTAAACTTTCTGACAACGTAATTACCATAATAATTAAAATATTTTTCTAGCATCTTAACTTTTTCAGTTTTGTCTGAAATTTCAAGCGCACTCTCTATATCCCTAATAAATTTATTTGAAGCAGTAGATGTATATTCTACTGTTGAAACTGGGACATGAACCTGTATTTGATTGTCGTCATTATTTAGCTCTTTGTTGTCTCTACTATTTGCAAATAAACCTGCAATTCTTAAATTACTCCACACTGAATCTGTAGTCAACGAGTTGTAGACAACTGGTGAGTTCGACTCTGATTTAAGAATTTTTATATCACCATTATCATCCAAAGCCATTCCTTCTGCGCGATTGAAATCAAAGTCATTAAGATTTCTGCCTTTGTTTAAGGCAAAAAAATCAACAAATGCTGCTTTCATTTTCTTTTGCCTAAGTAAAGCGCTATAATCCAACGACAAATCCAGATCGATTGCTTTAGGTTTAGGTCTAAGTGCCTGAAAACCGGCAGTATTATAAGCTTTATCAACATTATATGTGTCTGTGATGTCTGTGAGTGATATATTTCTCAATTCACCAAGAATTTTTGCACAAGTGGGTCGAACGGCTATTCAAAAATTAAATGAAATTTCAATTTGTAGTTGCTATTAACAGGTAAGTAATAAATAATATGGGGTCTTTGCCTTGAAAATCAAGTAAACATATGTTTCATAACGTGATTTTCAAGGTAAAGACTCTATATATTAATTTAAATTTACCAGGATCGTTGTCCCAACATTTTTCGTAAAGTTCTATAAATTTACGTGGTGTTCCTTTGACGGGTGATTCTCGAGTACCTTTGATAATATTAATTGCTAAGGCAATTGTACGATCATCGTTGAAAGGTTCAACACCGTCATTTGATATTTCCCACATTAGTACACCCAAGGAATAAATATTTAATTTTTTTTTATTTTCAGGTTCGTGTGATAATAAAACTTCTGGAGGTGAATATTTAGAAAATGAAAAGTCGCCTCTTGCACGGGCTTGAGGCATTCTCAAATTAGTTAATTTAGGAATCCCTTCACACATTACTATGTTTCTCGGATGCTAAGCATTTAAATATGTTAATTTTGGCCGATCGTTATACATGATAAATATAAGACTTTTAAATATTACCAGTTCTGAGGGTAGAATATTTTGATCATGAAGATACTGGAGACCATCAGTCACTTGTCGTACTAGAGCTATTTTGTCGTCCCAACTTAGAGGAGTGCTGTTAGCACGCATTTGACTGAAATAAGATCGTAAGTCCATGGTATAATATTCACGGACAAAATAATAACTTTTTCCATCTGATATAACCATTAAATATATTAAATATTAGTTAAAAAGTTATACACATATTTATGTATAGAAATAAAATTAATTCTGATACAGATGTTTTATGTGGCAGGATAATATAAATAGCGCATTATAAACTCAAAATTAAAGCACAAAATCTTAATATTTAGATCAAGATGTTAGGAATAATGGTCAAAGAGGAGAAATATTTTGCTTGTTATAGTTAAAATTACATTCTCGGCAGTTTAGTACTCCGAAAAAAAAACTTAGTTCCTTGTCATTCAAAACACTGTTCTTGATCCAAATTTATCATAAGGCAATGAATCGCATGGCCTGAAAATGATTGGCTATTTTTTTGCTCTGTTAGCGACTCAAAGTCAATATAAACTCTCAGTTTCTGGATTTTGGATTTTATGTTGGAATTATCAGAATTAACCTTAACCATTTGCATATGGACGTTGCTTTGAGAATTAATGTTTGAAAGAGGTTATCTCGTTTAAATTCATTAAAAATAAGAAAAAAAATAAGATTTAAATGTTCGTGATATTCTAATAAATAAATATTCTGTCCCTGCCGATATCCCACATAAAACATCATTTATCTCCGTTCTATCAATGATTTAAGTAATGCACAAACCAAAAGTGATGCCAAAGACTCTTAATACATTATTATGTCTAAGCGGTTTAAGCTAGAAAAATAAATAGTTAGCATTGTGAAAGTTTTTAATGCGTGTGTGTGCATATACTTACCTCGGTTAATAGTCTCATAACGATACTGTCGTCACATTTGTCTAAATCTTCTAATAGACATAAATTTACTAGACTATTGTTCCATAACCTTTTTTTTCTATCACCTGGTCCTTCGGGTTCTCCTTGTATTTGATTGAACTCGTCATAATCTATCAAGCGGATTGTTTTTTCTCGGACCAATCGTTCTATATACTGATATAACATATATTGCGGCATTGTTAGATTTGGCGTAATCAAAGAAAAACTGAAAAAATTAGAACAACTGAACCCGGAATTCTCTTAAATGAAATGTACTATTATATTATTTTGTATGTTCATTAATTGACCCTATTTTTTTAGGGTTGGATCACAAACCAAATTAATACTAGTTTGGTTTCGTTTTTATCACAATAATACTTATTTTATTTTTATTTTATCATTTGATCAAAACATTGCTAACGTTATTTTTTTCAAATTTTTAATTATATTAACACAACCGTTTTGAAATTGCATTCTCATTCTCTCTTGAATATTTGAGAACATTAAATCTACACTGTTTTAACATTTCAAAGATGGAGATGGAATTTCTTAAGTCCGCATATGAAGCTAACCCACTCAGTGTGAAGGGTATTGTGATTGCTGATAATAAGATTGTTAATGAATTTAATTTGGCATTATCTGAGATTAAACCATTAACGACATTATACAAAGTACGGGAGTATTTAACTCAAAAAAATTTAGTGATAGTTGGTCGACAAAACTCTCATTTTCGAAATAAGTTTGAATATAAAATACCATTCGTTAATGAAGACGACTATAAATTAAAGGATATTTTAGTTCCGACAGATGGAACGATTGATTCCGCTGCGTCTTTTTCATTCTTTATTGAAAAAGATTTGACAAGGCCCGGCTTTCCTGAAATCGTAAGGAACCTTAATCTAACTAAAGGGTATAAAAGAAATGAAAGAAATGAAGTTATTCAAGCAAATAAAAATGCATTCCGAATTAAGAATATGCATTTAATGGAGATTATAACCCATCAAACCCTTGAAGAAATTGAAGATAATCAAGGAAGGTTCCTTTGTTGTGTAAAAGGCACTATCAGATTATTACCAGGAGATTTGGAAGCGACCGAAGAATACATTGAGGCTATTGAAGATGCTTTAAATGAAGATATAAATATAGATATAAAAGCATCTCTACATAGAGTAGGTAGAGAATATGGTTTTTTCTGGCCAAAAGAGATTATACTTGGAGGGAAATTTCAATTAAGCGATGAACCAACCGATACCAGAGAGCTAGAAAAATTAAAAAATTTCATAAATTGGAGAATTATTGATCAAAAGGACTTAACATCATTACATACGTTATTGCCAGAACAGCTTGTTTCAAGGATAAGAAGGGTTTACGGAATGAAACTATTATATCATAATAGTTTATCCGTCCATATGCCAAAAGGAAAGAGGATTTTACCTCAACCTCTTCCAAAACCGCAAACCATTCCAACATTTAAAAACGTTAAGATTTTTACTTCTGTAATTGTATTGAACAAAACAAAACCATATCGTAACATGTTTGTAATTAGAGTCGAATATATGGACGATGAGACCCCATATGTTGTAATACAACGTATTGGGAAACCAAAAAAGGCTTTTAACCTCTTCGTTCCTTATATGATAATCGGTTACGAGGAAGGTCTACCAACTGAAAGGCTTCCGGATAACTCAATTGACCATATTGACACTGAAAGATATCAATATGATAGCGATATTCATATCGAACATCCAAGATTGACAAAAGATTACTGTATTATTGGAACCCCTATATTAAAATGTAGGGATAATCCTGGTTATAATTTCGGAACATCTAAAGATGTAATTAGTTATCATTTCCGTCAACGTAATAACGATAATGGTATTACGCAATTACAATGTTATCATTATGATCTCCGATCTGATGGGGTCAAAAACTCCTTAATATTTGATATGAATTATGCCATTATCTCAAGCCAAAATTCAGATTTTATTGTAACTAGCGCAGCAAATCAAAATTGGACATACAGATCCTACAATACGTTGCCATTAAGCGAAAATAGTCGTACATTCACTGGAGGAAGATGGGAAGTGTTTGTGCACCCAAAACCCATGTTCGCAAGTATCCAATATTCTGATCCTCCAAATCACCCTCTTTTTTTAAATATTCATAAGAAGTATCCGATAGTAAAATCTCTGAATGTTATTGCAGAAGATCTTCGTAGTCCTCTTGGCTACGTTATAGTGAGAAGGGCAGTAACTGATTATTAAATGACAAATATACCGTACTTTTTTTAAATTTCAATATATAAATTCAATATAAAAAGATAATTTCTTGTGGCGTTATATTTTAAAATAAGATACTTTTTTAAAGCTTAACAAAAAATTCAATATGCTTTAATATAACAATAAAAAGTATGTATTATTTATATTTTTGTATGACTATTTTATCAATAAAAGAGCTTTTTGAGTTTAAACCCTAGTCTCTATACGGATAAAACTTTTCAAATTGTCATAAAGTATCTAATAGTTATGCAGAATACCATTGTTGTAACTGTTATATCCTGGGCAGTTTAGTATAAGCGAAATTTTGCAGTAAAGTATAATGGCCAGGTAAGCGGCTGATTTTTGACATACTGCGAACTTTCACTTATACCCAACTACCCAGGATATAACTGATTTATCCCCTGCCATCTACGTAACATAAATTTCATGTACTTATTTTAGAACGAAACCTTTATTTTACACATTGGTTTTGACATTTAAGATTAAATAGCAGAATGAAAAAAATTACGTAGATAGGGTTGACCAGGGGTAGAGATGGGCACGCGCGGGATTTTTAATATGATCCCGAAATAAGATTCTCTGGCCGGCATTACCATAATATCTGACCTGCATTAACATATTTAGCTAATTCCTAATTAATTTATTTGCATACCACTTCACACATATGTTTATTTATATATACGATAAGAATTTACCTTCTTTGCCGTTGGTATCT